CCTGTAAATGAAAACGGAGACATTGATGAAAGAAATTAAAGAAAATTCAAATAAATGGAAAGGTATTTCTTGCTTCATGAATTGGAAGAATTAATATTGTTAAAATGTCCACATTACTCAAAGTGGTCTACAGATTCAATGTAATCCCTATCAAAATTCAAATGACATTTTTCACAGACATAGAACAAACAATCCCAAAACAGGGAAAGCAATTTTGAGAAAGTAAAACAAAGCTGGAGGCATCATGCTTCTTTTTTTTTTTTTTTAAGATTTTATTTATTTATTTGACAGACAGAGATAACAAGTAGGCAGAGGAGCAGGCAGAGAGAGAGAGGAGGAAGCAGGCTCCCTGCCGACCAGAGAGCCCGATGCGGGGCTCGATCCCAGGACCCTGAGATCATGACCCGAGCCGAAGGCAGAGGCTTTAACCCACTGAGCCACCCAGGTGCCCCGACATCATGCTTCTTGATTTTAAACTGTATTATAAAGGCATAGTATTGGCATAAAAACAGACAGATCAGTGGAACAGAATAGAAACCCAGAAAGAAACCAATCATATAAGGTCAATTAATTTATAAAAAAAGAGCTAAGAATATACAATGGGGAAAGGACAGTCTCTTTAATAAATGGTGATGTAAAAACTGGACAGCTACATGTCTGAATGAAACAAAAACCACTATCTTAAACCATACACAAAAATTAACTCAAAAGGGAATAAAACCTTGAATGTAATACATGAAACCCCAAAAATCCTAGAAGAAAACATAGGTTGATGGGGCGCCTGGGTGGCTCAGTGGGTTAAGCCGCTGCCTTCAGCTCAGGTCATGATCTCAGGGTCCTGGGATCGAGCCCCGCATCGGGCTCTCTGGTAGGCAGGGAGCCTGCTTCCTCCTCTCTCTCTGCCTGCCTCTCTGCCTGCTTGTGATCTCTCTCTGTCAAATAAATAAATAAAATCTTTAAAAAAAAATAGGTTGTAATCTCCTTGACATTGTTATTGGCAATGATTTTTTGGATTTGACACCAAAACCAAAGGCAATGAAAGCAACAGTAAACAAATGGGGCTACATTAAACCAAAAAGACAACCTACCAAATGGCATTAGATATTTTCGAATCACATACCTGATATGGGGTTAATATCCAAAATATATCAAGAACAGGGGTGCCTGGGTGGTTTAGTCGGTTAAGCCTCCAACTCTTAATTTCGGGTCAGGTCATGATCTCAGGGTCATGAGATGGAGCCGTGCATCAGGCTCTGTGCTAAGTGTGAAGCCTGCTTAAGATTCTCTCCCTCTCCCTCTCTTTCTGATCCCTGCACTTACGCATTCTCTGTCTAAAATATACATACATACATACATACATAAAAAGATGTTCAACATCACTATCAGGGAAAGGCAAATGCAAACCACAATGAGATACCATCTTAAACCCGTGACAGTGACTATTATCAAAAAGACAACAGACAGCAAATGTTGGTGAGGATGGGCAGAAAAGGGAATCCTTGTGTACCGTTGGTGGGAATGTAAATTGGTGCAGGCACTATGGAAAACAGTATGGACGTTCCTCAAAAAATGAAAAATAGAACTATCATATGGCCCAGCAACTCCACTTCTGGGTATTCATCTGAAGGAAAGAAAACCACTAACTAGAAAAGATATCTGCAGCCTCATGTTCATTGCAGCATTATTTATAATAACCAAGACATGGAAGTAACCCAAGTGTCCATCAGTGGATGAATGAATAAAGAAAATGTGGTATATATACACAATGGAATATTATTTATCCATAAAAGAGGAAATATTGCCATTTGCAACAACATAGATGGAACTTGAGGGTGTTATGTTAAGTGAAATAAGTCAGACAGAAAGACAAATACCATCTGATCTCATTTATATATGGGATATAAAAATAAAAACAAAAAACTGAATGTATAGATACAAAGTGTTCAGATTGGTGGCTACCACAGGAAGGAGAGGGTAGGCAGAATGGGTAACATTGGTCAAAAGGTATCAACCCCTTAGTTATAAAATAATTAAGTCCTGGGAATGTAGCATACATCATGTTGACTACAGCCAGACATTATGGTCATCTTTTTGCAGTATATACAAATATTGAGTCATTATGTTGTACATCTGAAATTAATGTTATATGTCAATTATATCTCAGAAAAGAAAAGAAAAGAAAAAAGACAGGGAAGTAAGTGCTGCTGCTTTTTAAGGACGGCAGAGAGCTGAGTAGGGAAAAAAAGTCATCACACTTGCTCAGTTCTAAGAATGAGATGGAAAGGGACAGATGCTAGACTCAAGTGTAGAACGAGAAATGAGCTGGCATGAAGTCTTGTGTACACTGAATGGAAGAAGGAAACCTGAAACAAAGGAGGATGAAAAAACTCATCATTAGGGATTGTGACAGTATTTTTGGAGTACAGGTATATTTCATCAAACATTTAGAGTACCAACTATTACATTACCCAGGAAGAAAAAAATTAGTGGCTTAAGACAACATACATGTATTACCTTTAGTATATGTAGGCTGGGAATCTGGGTGCAGCTTAGCTGAGTCCTCTGGTTCAGGGTCTCTGATAACGTTACAGTTATCTTCAGGTTCAACTTGGGGTTGGGGGTAGGAATCTGTTCCCAGGGTCACTCACATGATTATTAGCAGGATATGGCTGCTCAAGTGTTGTTGGACTGAGGGATTCATTTCTTTGCTGGCTATTGGCTGGACATTCTTCTCAGTTCCTTGCTATATGTGGGCAGCTCACAGCATGGCAGCTGGTTTTCTTGGAGCAAGCAAACAAGCGAGGAAGAGAGGTCAAGCAAGTGAGGAGCCAGAATCTTTCTTGAAAGCCCATTACTTTTGCCATATTCTATGTGTTCAAAGGAAGTCGAGCCCACACTGAAGGTTAGGGAGTTACACGAGGGTATAAACACCAAGAAGCAGAATATTTGGAGCTATCTTTGAAGCTGCCTACCACATGGGTCATAACTAGGGTCTGATTTTGTCAGAAGCAGAAATGTTTGATAGATAAAGGTTTGTATTCCAACATTAAGGAGGATGTACATGTTTCTAACTTACTTATGTTGAGAGTTATGCTAAAACGATGTGGTGAAGGGGGCAGCAGATTAAACAATGAAAACCAAGGACCAAGAGAAGAGTGAGAAACCTATTACACAAAGATGGTACCTGCCCATAAACTGGAATTTCTACTCAAGTTTTAAAGTATTCTCAAAAGTCCCAGGAGATAGGACCAGACAAATGGAATAGTTCACATGATAATCCACTGTTTAAAGACCACAGAGTTCCAAGACCTTTGACTGACCCCACTCACCGGGAAACACTCGCAAAGGAGAGGAAGTAATACATAATATCTGAATGTGCCATTGTAAGAAACTTGAGACAATTGGCAGACTCCTTTATATTTAAAATGAGCAAACTAATAAAAAATGCTAAAAACAAAATGAGCAAATTATATGTCCAACAACTTTGTTTCCCTTAAGGGAGGAGTCCAGAAAGAAAGAAAAATCACAGTGTTGGGGGAAGACTTTTAGAATAGGCTCTCTCTTCCCTAATCTAGGCAGGCTGGTGATCTGGTCCCTGCCCATCTCTCAGGCCTCCTCTCCCATCACTCACTACCTGGCAAGTCTTGCTGCAACCATATGGGCCTCCCTGTCAGTCAGCAAAACACCAGCTCCTCCCCAAATCTCATTTCATCCAGGTCCCTGCTCAAATGTCATTTTCCAAGAAGGAGCTTCCCTGAGTGCTATCTAAAATAGCACATAACTGCCTCATACCCTTACCTTGCTTTTATTTTTATACCAGTTACCCCTTTCTGAAAGTACATCAGGCCACTATTCATTGACTTTTGATTTCAGCTCAGGTCATGCTCTTGGGATCATGGGATGGAGCCCCTAGTGGGGCTCTGGGCTCAGCATGGGTCTGGTTGTCCTTCTCTCTCTGCTCTTCCCCCATGTGTGCTCTCTCTCTCAAATAAATAAATAAAATCTTAAAAAAAAAAAAAAGTTTACATTATGCCTTTTTTCCTTTGTTTATTGCCTGACTCCTCCACGGAGATCTAAGTTCTGTGAGTTCAAGGTCTTATTTATTTATTTATTTAAGAGAGAGAACGAGGGGAAGGGGCAGTCGGAGAAGCACACACCCCACTGAGCAAGGAGCCCAATGCAGGGCAATATCCCAGGGTGCAGGACTGGATCCCAGGATCCTGGCACCAAAGCCAAAGGCAGACGCTGAACTTACTGAGCCACCTGGTGTCCCCGAATTCAAAGTCATAACTCAGAGCTCTTGAGGACCTGATGAAGCAAGCCATGTCTGTAGAGTGAACTGAAAGAAGAAAAAATGAAGCCCATAAAAAAACGTGTCAGGAGAAGAGCATAACAGAACTAGGGAGAAAAATATGAGGAACAGACAATGACTATTTGCTAGAAATGTGCTAATACAAATTCACGCACAATGCGGAATATTTATATTTGTGAATACGTAACTAATTTTTAAAAAAATTTCGAAACTCAAATGAGCTAATATACATTAAGAAAATATTTAAGACCCTATATAAACATATAAAATATTTAAGACAGTATATAAATCTGCCCACACAGCGGCTCTCTTCCCCTCCACAAGCGCGAAGAACTTTTATGGATTCTAACCTAAGGTACGGAGTTCACCCGCCCTCCTTTATGAAATGTATTCTTGTCGCTATTTGGTTGGCTGTTCCTCCCAGGCGCCCCTTTATCACTGGCCAAGCTCTCTGTCCATCACTCCCAGACTCAAGCACTCCATTGGTCCGCTGCTTCAGAGAGCGGTGGCTGGTTGCGTTCAGGCAGAAGGAGTTCCCCGGTGACGTCAAAGGCTCTCCCCGCCCACATTCCAAAGCCTGGGCAGAGACTTCCCTCTGCCCAGCCTTTCGGAGCGGGACGGGGAGGAAAGCCAGACTTCTGATTGGATAGGGCGGGCGAGGTGAGTATCCGATTGGTCGCTTCCCTAGAGGGAGGTGGGTCATAGCTGGGTCCTGGAGCCGAACTGAGGAGCCCTGGGGAGCCTCAAAGTTTGTGTCTGGAGCAGTAGCGGAGAGTGGGCTTATTGCGAAGGGATTTTCTTGGGATGAGAGCTGCTCTCCTGCCTTCATTTTGGATGCGCGCCCTGCTTTAACCCCTGCAGCCTTCAGCCGGATCCCTGGACAGCCTGTCTCCCCCGGCACCTCTCAGACTTCCGAGGACCCCGGACGGGAGCCCTTAGCACTTCTCCCTCGGGCAGAGCAGAGAACGTTTCTTCCTAAGTGCATAAGCTTCACGCACACGCGCACACACCCACACACGCGCACACACCCCGCGGAGCCGGACCTTACCCTCCGAGGCGGCTCTGCCCGCTCCTCTCCTGCCCTCAGCATCCTCGGCCCAGCGTCCCTCGGCCCAGCATGGAGGTGCTGGAGAGCGGGGAGCAGAGCGTCCTGCAGTGGGACCGCAAGCTGAGCGAGCTGTCAGAGCCCGGGGAAACCGAGGCTCTAATGTACCCTACGGTGAGGACTCGCGGGACGGGGACCGGGCAGCTTGCGAGGGAGAAGTACTGTCAATAAGGGAACTGCTGGGGGCAGGGACGTGGGAAGGGAGTCTTTGGGAAGAGGCAGGCATGCCCAGAGGAGATCCAGGGAGAGGTGTGGTTTTTCAATCCGAAGAGATAACTGCGGGCCCCTGGCCCTTTTCAAGTTTCGGTAACAGTAGTGACAGTTTGTATTTCTTTGGCAATTTATAGTCTTTTCCCGAGTCTTTTTCACATCGCAGTATCACTTGCTCTTGCTGTCAGTACTGTAAAGCCGAAGGGGGTCGTGGTGGAGAATAATGCGCCACTGTTGAGCTTGCTACTGACTGGGTGGGAGGGTTTTTAAAAAGCTAAACAAAGTGGCATTTTCTTTCTTTCACTGTCGGACTCTTTCTCTTTACTTTTTGTTTATATTTCAGGAAGTACACGTGTGTGTGCGTGTGTGTGTGTTTGGAAAAGCCCGTTTGATATGAGGAGAGAGACTGCTTTATTTGGGCTCTTTAACTGTACAGCCAAGCAGTCTGCTTCCTCTCTCTTCAGGGGAAAGATCAGCAGAGTATGGAAAATCTGAGGCAACTGCATATTGCAGAAAAGCTTTGGAGAAGATGAGACGGCTCGCCAGTTCTTTGTTCATTCTTATGCCTCAGGGACCCCTTTGGGGATTGAAGTGTCACAGGAATTCTGCCCATTTGTTTTAAAAGTTTCAATTTCAAAATCATTGGTATTACATTTGCGAAATGAAATTGTTTCCAACAGCCAGCAATGTTAATATGATTTTATGTGAGATCTGTTTGTTTTTTGTTTCTTATAAATGCAAAAGTTTGTAATGAGGAAAGAGAGAGTGGGAGACAGAGAGATCACTAATGAGAAAACGAGAAGCTTGGCTGTTTCCCCTTCATGATTTTTCTAAGGGGGTCAGTGCCAGGATATTTGAAACTTTTGCAAAATGGCCTGTAGGCTCCACCTCCCTCCTTGGCCTCTGCCTCTGGTTGACGTTATTTTGGGAAAAGGGATGAGGGCCTCCCTGTGATTTCCACCAAGGCACTTGCGATGGCTGAGAATGGCTTGTGCGGGGTGGAGGGGGAGTGGTAGTTCATGCTGGGGCGAAAGCCAGATGTGTACTGTGATCTGGGTTTTGCTCACTGAGGCTTTCCCTGAGGAGACCACGTGGGCTGCATTTGCGTTGAGGGCCCAGATGTGCTTCCTGTTGTCAGCACAGAGCTTAGAGCACCTTGGTCCTCAAATGTCTTCTGGTGATTGGGTGCTCCAGGTGTTTCTACTGACATGGTCTTTGTGTTGGAGGGGGCGCGGCTCTTCTCTTTTGTACTTAAACATACTGTGAAAATGTCTCACCCAGCAGCTGTCATGCCATAGCTTTGGGCCTATCTTTCCGCTGGTGGCATGAATTATGCGCAGCCATACAGGTTTCCTTTCAGCCTGTGACTTGCACTTGTGTGATCACGGACTAGGATTTGAGATCCTGCTACCTGTGACTATGACCTTTAAGTCCAGACGGAACCATCTGTACTGGCTCTAGTTAAGATCTTTGTGCACTGTTACATTCCTTTTGGTATTAAGAGCTCAGTTTTTCAATGTTATTGTGATGAAGCAGTGATGTGTGATTATTTTTCTTCTATTTTTTTTTTTTAACGACTTTTACGTCTGCCACTTAGGGATGTGTCTCTCCTCTGGGCAGCTCACTCTTGTAAAATGCCACTCATCATTGCTACAAGTCATTGCCAACACACTGTGTATATGAATTAGTGTTGAAAGAGGTATTGGAGTTAGTCGTACAGACGACTGGATTATATTCCCTCTAAACTAAGGGGAGTTTGCCAGAGATGTGAACATAGATAACTTTCCCATCTGTTTCTTGAACTCTGTTGAATATCCAGTTGCAGAGCTGGTTATTATTGCTATTAGTTCAAAATGTGGAATAGCCTGACCTCCAGGTCGAAATAGGGATTTAGTTACCGCATGCATGGTCGCTCATGCTCTGTTTTAGCAAAACTTTTCACCTGCTTGATTTTAAAAACAGAGAAGGTTCAAGTTGCCTGAAGCTGGGACATACCATCTCTGGCAACTTCTGTGAACCATCAGGAGCAGTGTTTTTCTCATTTGGTTAGTTGTGAAGAAGTCTTCTTGGTTCAGAAGGACAAAGGTTTGGTGGGGGGTGGGTGGTGGATAGGATAGAAGTCTACAAAATAATGAAGTGTGTGGATAGAATGAATATGCATTTGCTCATTAGATCCTGGGTTATGAGAGCTTTGGGCTTCCTTTCGAGGCTTAAAAAATAGTTTCCATACAGATGACAATATATTATTTTAAATCAGTGAGTAGTACTTCTACGAACACTGTTGTTTCTGGAGTATGTACGGGCTAAACATGGGTTTAGAAAAGATGGCAGATCTAAAGATGAGGAGTGTGTGGTGTCTCTTTTCTGGTTTGAAATGCTTGTGAGAAACCTGGTTCCTTCCCCCAAGCCTACCTGGATGTTAGGCGTTTCTAACACATATGTCGTGTTCCTCTAAGATTCTGCGCAAATTACATTTCTGGGAATTTGTTGTGGGGTTCTGTAATTTAAAGAGCAAAACAGGCTATGCGTTTTATCTACTTATATATACACTGTTCATATTCAGAAGGATGCTCGAGAAATGGATAATTGTTTCTCGCAAGGGGACCTGGGGATTGGAGGTCAAGAGAGGGAGCATGGGTGAAGGAGTTATTTACGAGCTATCCCTTGTATGCTGTTCTGACTTTTACCTCCTGAATGTATTAAAAAAATGTAAAATTAAAACTTAAAGGTGCCATGTAACACTGGACTGGAGATAATCTTAACCTGAGTCTCTCTAGGGGAAGAAGAGAGGATCTGATGCTCCATTAAAACTCAACACTTCCAAAGTTGGTGGAGGCCTTGGGGGAACAGAGGAGGAAGCGGCAGCTCTGGGTAGAAAGGGTCTCTAAGGATAGAGGGTTAACCGTAAGTTTGGTTCTAGTAAACTTTATGACCGTGGCCTTTCTTATATCTCAGTTTAACAATCTGGAAAATAGGGATTTTTTTTCTTTTTCAATTTTTGCAATGGTTGTAATCTTTGTAAGAAACTTCTGCAATAGGAACTCTGAAGTCTTTGCAAAGATAATGACAGACGTTCTGCTTGTCTTCAGTGCTATTCATATAAATCCAGTACCGTGTAAGGTTATTTGGTGGCTCTGCGCTATAATTTTATATCTAGTTGGTGTTCAAAGTGAAATGACCAGTTCCAGACAGTGGAAGGTAGAGATTTAAGGGGATATTTGACAAGTCTGGTATCTGGATGTAAAGGTCATCTGACTTCCACCTCTATCACTGAGTGCTGGGATGGAGCTGGCTAATCTCACAGGCTGCTGGTCTCCCCTTCCTCCTGGCTGGCCCAGCGACTCATGTAGCTCCAGAGGGATACTGAGGCTTTTGGGTTGATGTTCACCTTGGAGACAACTGTTGTTGGCCCTGCCAGGTTCTTAGGGGGAACCTGGGGTCCTCCTGGCTTGAGAAGATCATTACTTGTCACCTGATCTCCACAAACTGAAGGATGAGTGATGGGTTCTCATGGAAGAATTGCAAAGCAGATAGACTTTGTCTCCAAAGCCCTCACTTCACCTTTCTTGACCTTTGTTTTCATGTTTTCCTCCCTTCTTGGACCCCAAGTACTGGCTGTAATGGTATTCTCTTTCTAACTCCCCCTCTTAAATTTTGCTGTCATGAAAAATCTGATGAGCTTATACTGAATATTTAATTATTAGTGAGGCTTAACGTATGACCCCCTAAATGGGCATTTAGATTTAATAGTAATTATATCAGCTCAAAAGGGTGGATCTCTAAATGGAGAATTTAAGGCAATCCCTAGGTTGTAGGGAAGGAATATTTGGGGAGTGGAGGGAGTGCCCACTATTCTTCTATTCTAGATAGGGGCCCCTTATTCATAAGGTAGCCAGTTACCTATGTTGCTAATTTTAGGGGGCCCTTATTCATAAGGTAGCCAGTTACCTATGTTGCTAATTTATCTATGATCTAAAGGATTTTCAGTGGCTTGGTGAAATTTCTTTGACCCATTATATTTTTGTCTCTAAACTTGTTCTCATGGTGATAACACAGGTTGGGGGCAGGTAGACTCAGGCACAGCTCTGAAAGGTGAGAGGGTAGTACTGAGTTTTATACTTGCCCTCTTTCTTGAAAGACCCCCAGGTAAACGTTCTGTGGAAGCAGGGTGGTCTGATGTGAAGTTGCTCTTGCAGGAAATGAGGCATTGCCTCTAAATTAATAATTGAATTAAATTATTAAATTATAATGTTTGCAGCTATAAGTAAGTGAAACGGATTCAGACTGCTTGTACAATAAGTAAATTAGGTCATGTCATAAGAGGCCTAGAGGTATAACTCCTTGTTTGGCTGATTTGACAACTCCTCTTTTTTTTTTTTTTAAAGATTTTAGTTGACAGAGAGTGAGAGAGCACAAGCAGTGGGAGCGGGAGAGGGAGAAGCAGACTCCCCATGGAGCAGGGAGCCTGATGCGGGGCTCGATCCCAGAACCCTGGGAACATGACCTGAGCCAACGACAGACGCTTAACCGACTGAGCCACCCAGGTGCCCCTCAGTAACTCCTCTAAATGCCATCCATCTATGTGCAGATTTCATTTTGGGGTTGGATGCAATCAGAAAATAGCTCATTCCCACATGAGTTCCGGGTGTTGGATTCAAAATGACATCCAGAGGAAAAAGAGCTTGATTCTTCCTGTAACCCTTTTTAGGAAGGAAGAAACCTTTTGCAGAAGCTCACCAGCTGATTTCTCTTTGAGCTTCATCAGCAAGGATTGGGTCACTTGACCATTTTAAAACCAAGGGCTGGAAAGGGATTTACACAGTTGGCTCAGATTAGTCAAGCAGGGGTTGAGGAGCTCTTGTCGGGTCAGCCAGTGCAATTGTCATGATCATTAGAAAAATAGT